TCTCGTCGAGCTCTGCGAGTGCATCTCCGTGCTGGTCGCCCTCCTAGCGTGGCCTCCTCCGTCGATCAGAGGAGGAAAAGGCACCCCATGCCGCTACCCTGCGCCCGTTCTCCCCTTTTTCGGCCTCCTCGGAGGCCCTCGTTGCCACCTCTGGATTCGCCTCGAGATCCTGGTCAGAACGCACCCCAGGAGAGGTCCGGGGAGTAGCGGCATCGGCACCTTCTGGTTTCCCCAGTCGAGGCTCTGTAGCTGTCTGGGGGTGCGGCGTGCATCGTACACTGATGCGCCGTGCAGGCGGCTTACTCCTGACTCGCCGGCTTGTTCGTCCTGGACCAGCACGTGAGTAATCACGCGCCAGACTCTGAATGCAGGTCCTCGATTGAGTATCCCCCGAAGGATCCTGTAACGTATGGTATTCCTCTCGCTTCGCGGGGTGCACGTCCGGACCACGTACAGCCCAGTCGTTCTGAGGCCTCATGCATCGATGGAGCTTCTTGGGGGCTTCTTGGAAGCCTCTTTGGGGGGCCTCTTGGGACCTTTTGCGGGTCTCTTTGGGGCCTCTTGAGCGCGTCTTGGACGGTCTTGAAGCGCTCGTGCGCCGTCTGGACCCTGCGGGCGCCGTCTTGGAGGCTCTTGGTGCCACTTTGATGCTCTCTTGGGGTCCTCGTGGGCCGTCTTGAGGGTTTCTTAGACCATTTTGGGGGCTCTGGGTAATCTTGGGGTCCTCTTGGGCTATCTGGGGGTCCCCTTGGGCCACAAGGGGGGTATTTCGGAGGCTGCTTGGGCCGTTATGGGCTGCCGAAGCTTCGAACCTGCGAGAACGCCTAAATCATGCAAACACCTACGGAAACTCCTTGTTTTTACATTCTGGAGGCGCTCTTGGGGGTGGGTCCCTCTTTTTGGCATCTGGGGTCCTCTTGGGGCTATCTTGGGCCGTCCTGTGGCCGTCGTGGGTCGTCTTGAAGCCAACTTGAGCCGTCGGGATTCCCCCTGTGGACTCCAGAGGGGCCCACAAGGCCAACATCAAGTATTCCATAGGTTTTGGTAGGTTTTTCAACTTCGCACGAATGGGTCGGCGACTCAGCGGGGGCCCTGGGGGGGATCAAGGGGGGTTGCTTTGCAATGTATAAGAATGCCATGCTTTGCAATGGGCCTTCCTTGACGCATGGTGGCCGGGCCCTTGCGTCACACACCCGTCCTGTCGGACTGCCGAGACGCTTCGCTGCAGTCTGGACGTGGATCCAGGGGCTTACGCCATTCCGCTGACCCCCACAAGGAGTGAGTGTTTGAGACGATTGTGGAAATTATATCTTGGATTAGGAGCCTGGATGAATCTGAGGGTCTCTTGTGATGCCTCTCTGGGGCTTCGTGGAATATCTTGGGGGCATGTGGGAGGCTTTTTGGGGCCTCGTGGGGGCCTCTGGGGGGCTATTTGGGGGCGTCGGGGCTCGAGGGGCCATCTCGGTGGGAAAGGCTCGAGATGTCAGTTCGTATTCCCCCTCTTGGGCTTTCTTGGAGCCCTCTTGGGGGCCCTCCAGGGGCTGTCTTGGGCCGTCTTGGGGGGCCTCTGGGGCTGTCTTTGGGCCCTGTAGGGCCGTCTTAGGGCCTTCTTGGAGGCATCATGGGCCGTCTTGGGATGATCTTGGGGGCCACTTGGGCCGTCGTGTTCGCTGTCAAAGCGTAAAATGCGAATGTGCAGAACATGTACGTTTTCTTAGGGAATGAGATGATTTTGACCTCATGACGCCCTCTCGTCGAACCTCTGGAGGCGCTTTTGGGCTGTCTTGGGGGCCTCGTGGGCCATCTTGAAGTCATCTTGTACCGTCGCAGGGCTACCCTGGCCGGTCACGACGCTCTCTTCGACTGTCTTGGCGCTTTGTCTGGGCCCTGTTGGGCTGCCTTGGGGTTTCTGTGGGGCTCCAGCGAGCCCCCCGGATGGTTGACGGGCTCGCTCCCCTTGGGCGTTGCGTAATGGGGGGGTCATACATGGGGGGGTGGCGAGAGTGGTCCGAAAAGGTACCCAAACGGTACCTAAACGAGCCCCCTGGGGCTCCGGAGGGGCCCGAAAGGGGCACGAAAGGGGACCGTTTCTGACCCCCCCATTAATGACCCCCCCGTTAAGCCACGC